GGAGGAGGAGGAGGAGGAGGAGGAGGAGGAGGAGGCAGGTCCATGGCCGCCCACTCGGTGATGGATAGAATTGGAATTGGGATCGGGATGTGGAGTGGAATTGGTAGGGCCGTGGGAATCTGCAAGGGGGGAACTTCTTGCAGTACCGGGTGGGGGAGAGGAGGAGGAGGAGGAGGAGGAGGAGGGACGGGGGGGCAAAGGAGGAGGAGGAGGAGGAGAAGGAGGAGGAGGTGACTTCGCCCTCTTCTGCTTCTCGACATCCTTATTCTTCTCCCTCGTCCTCCCTGTCCCGTCCCTCATTTCCTTCTCCTCCTCCTCCCTCTCTTCCTCTCTCTTCCTCGGTTTCCCCTCCCTCCCTCCCTCCTCCTCCTCCTCCTCCCTCTCCTCTCCCTCCTCCACCTCCTCCCCCTCGTTTGCCTCCTTCTCTTCGTCAGAATGCAACGACAAGGAAGAGTCTGCCCGCAGAGAGCTGGCAGCGCCTCTCTTCTCCTTCTCCGCCACCTCGTCTCTGCGAGTAACGACCGATAACGAAGCGCCTCTCTGGACCCAGGAGGAGGAGGAGGAGGAGGAGGAAGGGTGGGAAGCTGACTTGGTTTCTTTCGTCCTTCCAGCTTCCGCTCCTGCTAACGACGACGAAGAAGACGATGAGGCTGACGCCGCTGCCCTCGATGAGCGAGCGTGGCCATCGCCAGTGATTGAGCCATCAGCTTCGTCGAAGGAATGGATGTGGTGGTCCCCACCACTCTGAACTACGTACAGGTTTCCGGCGGCAAACCGCCGTTCGAGCCCTCCACCACTCCGATCCTTCGAGTAGATGAAAGTTCCAAGAGGTCTCACTTTTCCTTGCAGCGATGGCGAGAGAGAGAAAGGGGAGAGAGAGTACACTGCCGCAAGCAAGCCACAGGTTAACGACAGCAGTGCAAACTTGCTAGCCCGGCAAGCTTTGAGCGAGATCATCATCCAGCCACGTGTCGACCATCTAGACTTCGTGATCGTCATCACGGACGCACGAAACGAAAGGCCAATCACGACCGAGCCAGCCAATCAGGAGCGAGCGAGGTTCCCGCCAGATTCAGAAAGAGCAAGTCACCAGCGACGTTCCATCACGACCGCCGAAGAAATGAGAATGCCACTCACAAGCCACGATAAATGCGGTGCTCGCTCTCATAATGAGAAGAGCAAACGAAAGCCAGAACAGATCAGAATGCCAATCACATGCCAATCAAGAGCGAGGGAGGGAGCGAGCCAATCAAAATCACAATGCCAATCACATGCCAATCGACAGCGAGGGAGGAAGCCAATCAACAGCGAAGGAGGAAGCCAATCAACATCGAGGGAGGAAGCCAATCAACAGCGAGTGACGAAGCCAATCAACAGCGAGGGAGCAAGCCCAATCAAGAGCCAATCAACTGTGAGGGAGGAAGCCAATCCAGAGCGAGGGAGGAAGCCAATCCAGAGCGAGGGAGGAAGCCCAATCACGAGCGAGGGAGGAAGCCAATCAAGAGCGAGGGAGGAAGCCAATCAAGATCGAGGGAGGATGCCAATCAAGAGCGAGGGAGGGAGGCAAATCAAGAGGAAGCGAGCGAGCCAATCCAAATCACAAGGCCAATCACATGCCAATCAAGACAGAGCGAGGGATCCAATCAAGAGCGAGGGAGGGAGACAATCAAGCGCGAGGGAGGGAGACAATCAAGAGCGAGCGAGCAAGCGAGTCAAAGCGAGCCAATCACGTGGCGGGAAGGATTGCCACTCACCTTACGCGAGACTCATCCTCATATCCAATGTAAACACGTGACACGTGATCTGGTAAGGGCATACTCACACCAGGACTTCTCTGGATGAATCTGACTGCAGTATGCGGTAAGGTGAGTAGTGATGCTTCCCGCCACGGTTCTTCCAGCCAAATGAGAAAGGCGATTTGCACCACTATCAGGGAAATACCCCACCGAGGAGTCAATGACGGATAGCACAGTCTTTTTTTTTTTTTTTTTTTTTTTTTTGAGAGGCTTATATCTGTCCAATCTGGACAGGACGGCCTTTCAGGCCTTTCTTGTTGTCAGGTCCGTGCTCAAGCCTCCAACGAGGGAACATGGGGGGTAGCGGCACCCGCCAGAGGCACGGTTCCACTAGCAGGCGGGTATGATGACCGGGAATGTGACACTGCACTAACGGCAGCAAGACATTTAATGTTGATGC